CTCCTTACTAAACTTTCCCTGGTAAGTGTGCACTCCCATATCATTGCTTGGATTGGAGCCTTCCTACGTGATAGGACATTCATGGTCCGGGTGAATAATACCTTCTCCTCTCCACGTTTGGCGCCTAGTGGAGTCCCACAGGGAGGTGTGCTTTCCCCTGTTTTGTTTAATATCTACACGTTCCAGCTGCCTTCACTTATCACAAAGAGCGGAGTCAAATGCAGTGCTTTTGCGGACGACGTTAAATTATACCAAACAGTAAAAGCTCATGATGATTGTCTGCAGTTGCAACGCTCCATTGAGGTAGTGAATAGATTGTCTAATAAATGGGCCCTGCGGTTGTCCTTAGAAAAGACTACTATGTTGCATCTGAGTTTCAAAAAATAGGCAGTTTCCCCTATGTGATTGAAGGCACTCCTATCAGGAAAGTGGAGCACCAGAGGGATTTAGGCTTCATAGTGACCAAGAATCTCAGCTTTGACGCGCACTGTGAGCTTATTGCTCGTAAAGCCAACTCGATAGTGTATAGATTGTTCAAGGTTCTTACGACAAAGAATTCCACAGTGTTGTTGCGGGCTTTCAAAACTTATATCAGACCTCTGCTAGAGTACGGCACACCCGTTTCCAACCACTTTCAAAGCGAAAATGATTTCGTTGCTCGAAAAAGTCCAGAATTCCTTCACAAGGGAGCGTTGATGATAAGAATTTTAGCTTTTCTTTATGTTAAGGTATATATCCCTCTAGCAATGGAAAGTAATTAGAAATTTAAGCTGCCCACTCTCGTGGCCCTTACAGGAGAGACATTGTTGACTTGGTTCTTTTTCACAAGATCCTTCAAGGCAAATGTGGTCTTGAACAACGACGTCTGTTTGTGATGCGAACAAGTTCTCTGGATTGCGGCCATCAGTGACCAGGGGCAGCCCTCTCAAACGTATACTGCCTAAGCAGAATTTCAGATTGTATTTCTTCACTATTAGGGCCTGGTACTGATTACTTTAAGTTCAAGAAAAATTCAGATCGCTACCCCATAACGTTGCACAGGCTTTTCAAGGACATGGTCGAGCGCTACTTGGTTTCCGTTAAGGAGCCTGGACTGTCTTTTCCTTTTCTTTGTTTGCCTCCTTTCTGCAAAAACACGTGCAGGTTTTTTCCTACAATGTCATTTTATTTCGTTTTCTTTTTGTGTTCACTGCGTTAGTTAGCTTAGGATCATGTCGTATTCAACTTTATCGTTGACGTTTCTGTACACCCACATGAGTCACATCATGTAATAAATATATATTCACAGTTCTAAATCCCGAGGAGCGCTTCTGTCTATATGTAGTTAAGAAGCAGTGTTTCTCATAAATCGGTGAAGTTGTTCTTCGGCCATTCTAAATGAAACTGGGTTCATTTTACAATGTACCATATCGTTCGCACCAATGCTTGTGTGAGCATGGGAATTCCAAAATGTTTCCGCTCCTTCAATGTTTTCAGTTCTATCTGACCGCCTTCTATGGCACTGAAGAGATGTGAAATATCGATAAAGTAAAAGAAACATCCAATTAGCATTGCGAATGCCCTCATAGTCTTCATACGTTGATACCTACTACTAACCTTGCCATATTTGCCGGTACTGAAGAGAACGCAGCTATTGAGCGCGTCCAGTACTTCACATCGGATTCGTGCATTGCATGCAATGTAGATAGGAAGACGGCAAGCACTAAAAAGTGCAAAATCCATTTAACTTTTTCGCACATTACAACAATGAGTGTAAAGGTACGGTCCGCGATCAGGCATAGAAGTTGAAAATATCGCGTCTGGAGAGTGGTGGGGTCCGCGAGGAACAACCTCGTACAAAAATTGTAAGGGAGGCCCGCTATAGAGCAATATAGGTTTGAGTGACGCCCCCTTTTTCATGAACAACTGCGACGCTGCAGGACTCCGCTGCCAGACTCTGCCCTCAAGGCCTGCCTTTTAGTGAAAAACGAGGCTGCAGGACGAAAAAGCATGAAGGTATCCTCTCCTTTTTTCTTCACAGGCGATTCATCTAGCATATACACTTCTAATCTTGAGTGACTTAAAGGCACAGTTCGCGACCGCAAATTGCGGGAAACGGAACTCAAATAGGCACAAAAAAGTGCTAAGTATCTGATTAGCGGAGAAAAGCAGCAGTAAAAGCAGTCCGAAATATTATAGATAAAGATAACATAGTGGCTACTAGCTAGTAGCTAGCAGCCGGTGAAGGGGCGGCATGGGGCCTCAAGGGGTAGTCCAATGGGCCTTAATTAGCCAAGCTTCCTAGGGGAGCGTCTAATTGCCAGTTTGGTTTCACATTTTGAAAGTAGCGCAGCCTCAAAAATCGCCTTCCGGGTCGTCCGACACATTTGAGAGGTCATAGCCTTATTTTTTCGCGGAATGTGCCTTTAAGGTTACACCGTAGCTTTCCTTGGCTTCCTCGCAGAAACCGCCTTCAAGATAGACTCTTTCTGTTCTCCACTGCTCACCGACATCTCAACGTCATATTCACTCCTTATTTCCTGACCCTATTCCCTTGCTTCGAGTGATGCAGCGGCATGTAGCGCCACTCACTATGATCATGGTCTGTGTTTAAAACGTAGATCGTATTCTTTCACACTCAAACAGCCCATTACACTGAGGTACAGTCCTCATCACTGCAGACTGTCGGAGGCGGCGTGAGCAGCGCGGATTTGACTCCCTTGCTCTATCAATGGCGATGGGGCTGAAATCGTTCTAGGAAGGAAATACCCAATGATATAAGCGCCGCATGTGAGAACCTCTGATTGCGCTCGACTACTGCGCAATATGGTTGCGGTGATATTGAGTGTAAAACATTAGGCCTTAGATTTGGGTAATAGTGATAATAAGAACGATAGAAATTCGCATGCAAATTTCACTGAGTTTCTAAATTGGAGCGTCATGTCGGTATTTATAGGACTCGAAAGGTGGCCATCTAAAGCGAAATTTTTCACATCTTTCATTTGTCCTTCCTAGAATCCTTTGGCAACTATTGCACATTGAAGCTTCGGGCTTCGGTAGTTCGAACAGCCTATTGCACGTAGCTCCGCTGAAAAAGACACATTAGTTGGGTTTGAATGGTGTTAACGCTCCTCCTTGAGAACGCTCGACATTTAAAAAACGCACCAAGCTAACACCGTCAGTAGAGAGACCAGATCAGAAGAGAGCGTGTAGAACGGCCGCAACTGTTCTGACATAAGTGATGGCTGTAATGAAGGATACTCAGTGAAAGTTCAAAGCACTAGAACACTCGGTAGTTTATAACCTTGTCGATCAGCTCCCATGTGTAGACGATCACATTGAGCATGTTTGACGCCAAGTAAGTGCATGTCACGAACACCAGCATGAGCGTCGCCGAACGAATGTTCTTCTGAAACCATGATAACCGCAAGTTCCTCGAAAATTTCGGAAAGCAGTAAACCCAAAATGAGATGGCGATTATGCCGTTTTCTGTTTCGTGGGATAAACAACTAAACGACCAAGCTAATGCAGGGGCTAAGAACAAGATAAAGTCGCTGGCATTGGATCCAAGTTCAGTTCCAGAAGATCCCTTCAGTCCTAAACGCTCTCAATCGAAACGGATGAATAATTGTCTTGAATTGGCTCTGCCTATCGCTTATGTACCTATAAATTTAAAGGCAGCGTCCGCGTTCAGTTGAGATTTTCCTCTCCCTTCGTGAGCAGGTAGTCAGGTGTTGACCCAACCTACAATCATTGACACCGCCCACTTTTCATTTCTAAGGCTGCGTTTACTTTGCGGCAGCGTAGCACAGCGTAGCGTAGCGCTTCCAGCGTACGCCAGCGGCAGTGCCTGGGGAGAGGATGCATATCGATCTAGCGTTCCCAGCGTCACCAGCGTTTCTCCAGCGTTTCACCAGCGTTTTGCTAGCGTTTGCAGCGGCAGGGAGTAGAGACTATGTGGCCGTAAGAGACGCGGAATCGACGTGTATTGTAGAGACTACGTGGCCGTCAGAGACGCGGAATTGAAGTGTATTGTAGGGAATATGTGGCCGGCAGAATCGATGTGTATTGTAGAGACTATGTGGCCGTCAGAGACGCGGAATCGACGTGTATTGTAGAGACTGAGGGTGAGTGAGAGACGCGCAATCGATGTGTTTTGTACCCTCCAGCTCTCCCATAGTCTCTAATCCCCTGCCGCTGCAAACGCTAGCAAAACGCTGGAGAAACGCTGGCGTACGCTAGCGTGACGCTGGTGACGCTGGGAACGCTAGATCGATATGCATCCTCTCCCCAGCACTGCCGCTGGCGTACGCTGGAAGCGCTACGCTACGCTGCCGCAAAGTATAAACGCAGCCTAATGGTTGCCTGATGGTGCGGTTGTTCCATTGCGCTTCTCTCCACGTCGAGCGGTGAGAGTGAGGTGATATGGAGGTACAGCTGATATCTTTCCCCTTAACACCTTGTAGATAAGTAAGAACTCGTGCGATCGCATCTTCTCATCGTCTTGAGCACGTACAACCTCAATTGAGCGAGCGGTTCTATTAGGTTGTCCGGAAAGTTCTCAGCGTTTTGGGTGTTTCATTTAAACGATCGTAACTTTTTTAATACTCATCGGATTTAATCGAAATAGGCACCATTCGAATCAGCACACTTTTGCCAATGTGACAGCAGTCGAGAAATCCCATCAAAGTAAAAACTGGGTGGTCGAGAGTTCACGAAATCTACGAAGGCTTTTTTGCCTGGTCCTGATTGATGAAGTATTTTCCAGCAAGGGAGTTCTGAAAATGTTAGAAAAGGTGATAGTTGGTTAGCGAAAGGTCCTCGAGAAGTATGCGCGGTTGGACAACCACCACAAACTTTATTCGAATTTAATGGATAGTTGATTTGTGTAACAAGTCGTGTGCGAGCGAGCGTTGTCATGCAATGGAATAGGACCCTTTCTTTTAATAAGTGCTGGCTGCATCTGACAAAATTTTCGGTACAGTTCGTCGATTTCTTCACAGTAGGGCTTACTTGCTGCATGTGATGTTTGGCCTGGTGATAAAATTCATAGTGGATGCACGACAGCCCGATGAACACCAAGGCCGTGACGCAGACTCTTTTTTTCGCTGGGAGGGTTCGGCTTTGAAAATTACCTCGGTTGTTCGTCGAAATCCAACCACTGTCCGGAACGTCTCCTGTTATCATACATGACCCATTTTTCATCACAGGTGACAATTCGGTCCAAAAACAGGTCGTTTCTGCTGCGCAAAAGCAATGCAGAAGGAACCTCGAGACGTGCCGATTCCTGCCGGTCACTCCGATTGTGGGGCACCCAATTGTCGAGTTTTTTCACCTTCCCAATGCGTTCCAGACCATCTGCAACAGTGGATTTGCCAAGGCCTAGCTCTTCTGCTATCTCTCGAACTGTTTGGGATGGGTCAACCTTCAAAATCCCCCTAAAATCCTCGTCAGATATTGCTTTAGGTCGACCGCTATGAGGTTCACCTTCAAGGCTGAAATCTCCAGAACGAAATTTGTTGAGCCATTGCCGCACAGTGCTTTCTCTAGCACTATTGGGCCCCACACCTGGTTAATTTGTTGAGCTGTTTCGATTGCGGATTGCCCCAATTTATAGTCGAAGAAAAAAATCGTCCGAAGTGCTCTTTTCACATGCTTGAAAAAATCTTGAAAAAGGGGTTTATCAAGCAATGGTGAAACGGCAATTATACCATCAGATAGCGCAAGAAATTCTCTACAGGATGTGCTACTGAGAAGCAAGGCAGAATGAGTTTTTAATCAGCAGTGAATGTACAAAAAATAGGTGCACAAAACGCTGAGAACTTTCCGGACAACCTAATATATAGAGCCTTTCCTATGATTTCTTTCTGATTTTTCTTCACTGAGGGGTTACTTGCTACCTTGTTATAAGTATTTGAGCCGCATAACTCATCAAATTTGAATGCGGGCTCAGCGTTTAATACGCGCGTTTCATATTCGAATCTCCATGCCCTTATGCACTCATATGAAAACCGGATGTCTCCGTATTTCATAATATTAGGTTGAGCAAATATAATGGCGCGCTGGACCACAAAAAAATAATAAAAAGGATGAGCGAGCAATTTATTCTAATGGTTACACTCGCTAGTGTCATCATTCATACTTTTCGCTATTCCCATCCCGGATAATGGATAGCCCTCCCGAAAAACTCGCTCTGCCATGAAAGAAATTGAAATCGAACATCTACATTTGGAAATCTTTGATATTTTTGAATATTTCTAAGCTAAAGAGTGCAGCTTGGACGGGCTGATTGATATTTTGATGAAAAAACTATAGCGGGTATATTGGGGTCACATGAAAGCGGCAGTTCCTATTGCAAAGGGTTTCGTCTGCGATTGAAGATCGTATCGTTAGAGAACGATCCTTCAGTCGTGTGGAACAACATTAGCGTGGAAGCCGCCCTAAACTCATCATGACCCAGTGCAGTACCCAGTTTCCTCCCTCACTGCAATTGCAAGACCATGAACATCCTCAATTCGTAAGGCAGAAGGAGTAGGGGGGAGGAGGTGAGAGGGGGGGGGTGAGAGAGAGAGGGATGGACGTATTAGGGTGTCCACAAAGTTCGTTGGCCATTCGTTTTTTCAGAGCTTGTAAAGATAACTCACCAAGTTGAACTTACCGGTCCATGATATAATCTCCATGCATACCCACCACCTTTCGCCAACGATCGGGTAGAGAGGCAACTCCATCCTCCCAAAAGCCGGCCGGCCGCGACTCGGCCCAGTCCTCGATCACGTCCTCGAGGTCGCGCTCGTTCTTCAGCTGTTTTCCGTCCAAGAAATTTTGCATGGACCGGAAGATGTGGTAATCGCATGGACTGATGTCCGGGCTATACGGTGGATGCGTGATCGTCTTGATGCCCAGCCTGTCCAGGACGGCCTGAGTATCTCTCGCTTTGTGGGGGCGCGCGTTGTCCCAGAGCAACCACGGATTTGCAAGTTTCTGGGACAAGGCGGCAGCTTTCACCTTGACCTCCTGCAATTCTTTAGAGAGGGTCTCTGCCGTCACTGTGGCATTGTTGGGTAGGATGCTGTAGTGGACGACGCCGTGGCGAGAGAACCAGAAACCTCGGCATATCTTCGATGCCATAGTTTTCATTGGTGAAGCGAGTCCACCATTTTGACATCCAGTTCTTAGAAGGGGTGTTATTACCAAACTGCTGACGCATCCTGGTCGTGGCCTGACGTCTGGAGATGCCCAGGTTGTAGTAGTCCAGCAAACATCGGCGGTGGTGGTGACTATCACTCATCTTCACTGCTTTATTGTGGGAAGAGCAGGAAAGGAAATTTAGAGCTAGCTAGCTCAGAAGATAGCCCATCGCGAGTACTTTCAGTATTGCGAAATCATTATGCAAAATCACAACGCGTTGCGTAACGCGACGCTGTTTACAAATGGCCAACGAACTTTGTGGACACCCTAATAATAAAAATAGATAGAAAAAATAAAAATAGATAGATATCGCACAGCTGAGCAACAATGTCCGACCTCTGATTAGAGGCGCCTAGAGCCGTCGTTAATAACATATTTGATTGGCAGACGGTAGGGGACAAGAAAAATCACTGCAAACTCTTTCAACTCGCACTTCAGCACCTGGTTCGCATCCAATTTGTGATTTGCAGAGTGGGCAGATGTGATCGATCTTCGTGTTCCCCCAAAATGTTTCAAAAGGTGGAACAGGATTAGGAGTTCCTTCCTAATTTGATATAGACGCCCTTCTCGCCGAGCTGTTGGGGGAGCATGCAGTCATTTCCTTCTCAAAACGACATGTAAGCATAGAGTGAGCGGTAGACCTTGAAACTACTCATTTACCATAAGTCGCGCTTTCACCATCCATTGGTTGATCAGACAATTTCAGAAACGATGTCGTCCAGTTGGTAAGGATATATGCGCCTAGAGCTTCCCAACATCGCAGTTATGACCCCCTCACATTTTTTAGGGTTTTCATCACCTCTTTGGAACAGAAAAACTCGAAATAGGATCAGGTGTCATCGAGCATCCCTATGAGGAGCGGTAGCTGAGCTACTAAGGCTGCTTGACCCTCAAGTGACGGGAATTCACGTTGTGCCACACTTTTCAAGGAGAAATGTTCGCCGTTTATCAACGAACAAAAGGGCGATTCAAGAAATTTCCGCAAAAAACGTCTGAGATAAATGGGAATGCCAACTGGGCTGCGTGGAATTGGTTTGCTTTTTGCAAGCGCAGCTTCTCTGTTCATCGCTAACGACAAGGCCAGCCTACAAGTGCCACATATTTCCCATAACTCGTAGCCAGAATACAATCTCTTATACTACACAGTTGCAAATGTTTGGTGTTTCGCGGACTGTTGCAGCCCCGCGTCAGTACGTAGCAACAGTGGTCCGAGCAACTTGTGCTTCAGAGAGCATTCTGAATCCCCTCCCGTTTCCTGTTGTCTGTAGTTCACATGATATGGCAGGATGTTGAATGTTTCGAGTGAATGTGTTTCCGATCGCTCAAGATTATGCTCCACGTTTCAATGCCATGGCCGCACAACGCTTTGACCCATTTTTTATCAATATACAGAGGGGGGGGGCAAAAAAAAGACACTTCTCCGAGTCACATATCAGTAAAGTTTACGCAGCCCAGATAGAAGACGTGGATACGAGTACCAGGGCGGAAGATACCCAAGATGTTCCTCGATAAGCAGGAGCAGCCTCTTGTCCATCACATTCATGTATGAAAAACGCCTACGGAATTCAAGTCACCTCCAAACAGCTGCGAAATTTCTTGTATGGACAGCTACCTGGAGACCAACACTCTTGATCTGGAAGACAACATCGAGCAGCTCCGACAACGTCGCTACGGTCCAGGATATCATCTTCACCGCAGTCGCCAAGGCGCGTTAGATGGTATGGACCGGAGATTCCTGGAATGGGAAGACCGATATTTTCTTCGTGGGTAAAAATGAACGCTGACGGTTACATCGACCAACTCAAGGAGAATATCCTGCCTTCATGTCGTCGCCTGTACCATCTTGGAAACTTCGTACTGCTACAGGATTGGGTGCCACCACATGGAATCGAAGGGCGTTGGAAAAACTCTCGCCTACTTGGAATCGAAGGGCGTTGAGTACCTGAAGAAGACGGAATATCCAAGTGTGTCACCTGACCTAAACCCCTCGATTACCGGGTTCGGGAGGAGCTCAACAGGGTGGTCTACAGTGGCGGAGAAATCAACGACCTCGCTGAACTCAGGCACCGAATCACGGTCGCGTGGCAGAATCTCTCGATGGCGCTCGTCCAGAAGGCTGTGGCGGATCGTGATAGTGTACAATGTGTTGTTGAATATGATGGTGGAAATGTCCAATCAGAATTCAATAAAGTGTAACTTGTAGCGCATTGCAAGTCGAGGAAGAAAAGTGTTTTTTTTTATTGACCCCCTATTCATAGGGTGACGTAAGCTCCGACAATTGGCGATGCTTTTAAGCGAAACATTCGTAAAAACTCCCCTTTTTGAGTAGACCAGTATCGATAGTCCAGCAACGAGCACTTTTGTTCTCGAAGAAGGCCGATTAAAAATAATAGACATGTTGCACGCTATCCTTCTCAAGTGGCGTGCGCTTTAGCAAGGACGAACAGAGACCAGAAAAAGACGGGAGTCAAACCGATCTTTGTTTGGAGTTCTTGACTTATGGAGGCAGCAGTGCAAACCTCCCTTGAGTTTCGAGATACCCGAATTGGAGTGGAGGCAATGTTAATAAAAGACCGCTTTGGAAAGGGACTATCAGCTACACCCACCACCATCTGCAGCTTCCGTGAAGAATGACCACGAACTAATTTTTGAGCATTTACGTAGGAAACGTTTGAATAAGTTTTTAAATAACTCCATTATAAGAATGCTGAATTATGGGCAAGCGACTAGACCCCACGCTATCCTTGAACCTGCTGCACGCATTCCAGTCTAGTGATACCATTACGCCATCGTGACAGCCTCCTACCCGCTCAGCTTAATGGCTTGCCATAGCCTTAGCCTATGATCTCGCTCTGAGTCTCTTCTGTCGTAAAAAAACAAAAAAAATATTGTTTCGGAGCCTTGTATCAATTATCAAAAAATACAACTGGGACACGGGTCGGCTACACCGTCTTTCGAGGGTTATGGGACGGCTATTGCGACACAAAAGGCTGAGAGGGTAAGAGCGGCCTCGATGGGGTAACTGATAACGCACTTGTCCAGAAAGCATTACTTGTGGGTTAAAGCCCACCCTGGAGTCAGTTATTTTTATCCATATTTTAGCATTCTGTACTACCTTTACTGCCCCAATCTTCAAGCAGGCCAGTTTTCGACCAGCTTTTTGCTGCGTTGGCAGAAAACGCTGAAAACTTATTCCCATGGACATTTTGACCTCCAAAAGACATTGTCAGTGTAGATTGGTTCTCCGATGGTCATACCCCTTCCGCACTCAGTACCCTGCTCGTCTTGCCGAACTACGCCTAATGAACTTGAAATATTTTAAGGCAGCGGGCACGATGGCTGTAGGGGAGGGGAGTACTGCCTAAGTTATCAGGGGAGGACTGCGAGACGACGCTTTTCCATGCCTCACTCGGCCCTTTCACCGCTTACGTTGCCAGTGTAACCGCCCACCCCCAGCCATCGTGTGCACTGCATTTGAGCTTTGTAGAGATTCAAAACAGTAAAAGGGGCGAATCTCTAGAGTCTGAACACAGCTTTCTTCTTCTCAGACCAGATGAACACTTCACTTACCCGATGTTCCGAAGTGGCAAAACGGAAGAGTTTAGCCCCGTGGTGCTGAGCACGAAGTAAACGAATGATGCCAAAGTTGAGGTAGAAACACAGGACGAAAGGCAGAATGATTGTGATTATGCTCCGGAACCAGAACTGAAAGGGAAAACCAAAAAAAATTTCAATCCAAAAAACGCAATCCGTTTTTTTCAATGACAAAATTAAATGTGAAAATTGAAGGAATGTCAGAGTTAACTACGTGTTAGTGGATTAAAAGTAATGGACACTTAGAGCAGGAACTAGGAAAAGATAGAAACAAAAGAGACAACGATGAGCGAACTCATTGGAGATGTAAGTATGCAGACAGAGGCACAAAAAAAGGCAAAGGTAGCCAACCTTATAAGCTGTCTTGTACGGTTCCGTCTCACTGAATTCGCTTACGGTGGCCGTCAAGGATGTGATACCCGTACAGTTACCATTCGGGACAACCTAAAACTCGAAGGTCCTTCAACATAAACAGTTGTCTGATTGGAACTATTCACGGTGGTACAAATGAGCCCCGTGAGTATAACCATTGAGGCTGCACACTGGAGCGCGTCATGACCTTACCTCTACTTCGAAGTACATCGGTAGCTTGGCGATCATCGCAAAGACAAGGGCCATAAAGCAGATGGCGAGTCGATGATGACGAGCAAATTGATTACGGATTTTCGAGATGGTTATGTACCTTAAGTAAGAAACTTCGTAGCATTGAATGAGTGCAATGAGTACTAGTGAGTGGTTTCTTCATAGAACTCGGTGGCAAATATGGCACGAGAATTCATCCAAGCTCATGAAAGAGACCCACTGGAGACATCTCAAAAACCAGAGTCATCTCACTGTTGAAAGAATACAACCGCTGCCCTACTTACCACTGCCCCACAGTCCAAATTATGGTTCGACCTATTTTTCGTACGCTGGTATTTGCATTTCTTCTTCCGGATAACTTTGTTCTCCTCCCCTGCCAAAAGTTGCGTTTTGGGGCAAAATTCCTTACAAAGCTCCAGCTTAAAGGCAATTCCCGCGACCACACTTCATAGGTAATACAGTTCAAAAATAGAATTGCCCTGTGATTGTTGACTTATTGAAGAGAAGGAACCACGAAAAAGCGCCCGCAATAAGACCCTCTTTATTTCAATTGATCATGATCACCGGACGAGCGTAAGGTGGTCAAGATCAATTGTGAATTGCGAAAGGCGGCGATACACTGATAAGAGACGAGAGAGGCCAGAAAATGACGGGCGAGAGAGCGCAATGGCAGTCTCACAACGACACGGTCACTGGAGGCCGGCATGGGCCTATCGGGCGCCAATGGGCCTAAAACATGAGCGCCGTGCGTTCTGCTTGCTGTTTTTCAACTTTTAAAAGCAGCATATCCTCTACTGTTGCCTGCTTGATCATCATGCACGTTTATGAGGTTCTAGCCTTAGTTTATCGCGGAACGTGCCTTTAAGAGCATTGTTGAATTTTGCAACCCTCTGCACCCGTTGAGTCAATGGACCTTCATCTTCCGAAGCATTCTGTGGGTCTCCATCTCCGAAAAAAAGTTCTCACCTCTCAAAAGCTGCTGCAACGATCAGAAACGCCGATGCGGAAATGAACACGTGCGATATAGTGAAGCATTATTCGCATGTATGACCACCACGCCATTGCCAATATATCTGAGGCGAAGTAGTCCATGTAGAGATTGACGGGAAACAGCAGAATATAAGCAGCTGAAAGAATTCATTATGGAAACTGTAAATCTCATTTATGCAGACGAAGCCTCTCCTATTAAGACTTTGAACGCAGCGCCATTTCTGATATGACTACCATCCGACAAGGGAGGTGTTTCAGGTCATGACGCGCTTTTTGGAAATGGGTTATTTGCTTTGGGGGGGGGAAGGGAAGTCCAAACCAAGGGTCACAATGAAAAAAAATGGATTTCATTTATTTGCTATGGCGTTTACTGGGTAGGTCAAAAAACTCAGTGAAAAATTACAAGAATGAGCGAGATTGTGTAACACACTTAATGCGCTCCTAGCTTGATAACTTACGAGCATATGCCAGTTGATTTATGGTGTGTTCGTTAATTAGGAACATGACGAGAAAATAGATATCGATTAAAGTCCAAATTTAAGTGAATACATCGTGGTAACAACACTTGGCATGCAGCCGGACGCAAAAGAGTGATGATTTATGATCAGGCGGTCAGCCTTCATGACCATATGATTTGGCAGATCAAAATGGCGTAGCGATATGAAACTGATGGGTTCTATATGGCACGAGCAAAAGCAGGAGAGCATAACGAGTTCGAATGCTCATTAGACAAGCACCAGTTATTCATACTGTATCAACGCAACGAGACGTGAACATTTCCGGAAACAAGGTTCTCCACACAACTGTGCTGGTTTGTAAGGTGTCATCCAGGAAAGGCCAATAGGACAGCCTGGCCATTTGCAGTGAGTGCATATCATTGTACTCGTCTTGACACAATGAACTCGAAACTACCTTTAAATTTGCGGAACGATTCTCTGAGCGGACTTATATAGGTTTTCCTTCGCTGTTTTTCTTCTTGCGGGTGGGCTGGCGCAGTGAATTTGCACCTGTAGCGCGACTCACAGCTCTCTCCGTGCGAAATAGATATCATATTCGTGTTCAGGGGGTCAAACAACCTCTAGAAAAGAAACCTTGAGGAAATCCGAGGTTCTGACTCAACTTCGAAAAAATGGGGTAGAGATGGTCGCGCCTGGATGATAGCCAATAATCCGACTAGCATACTGGTGATGACTGGTCTTTGCACTGAAATAACCCTTCAGTCATGTCTTTTCGCAAAGAACAATACCTGGCTCACTTGTTCGTGCCGCCTGCATCATTTTCCTGATTACCGGTAGAAAATTCCATCCCAAGACCAGTCATCCATGGTGGGTGGACCCCGCCTGCTGCCAAATGTCCATAGAATGGCCCACATTTTCCAAGTAAGGTCGAAACGTCAGACTTGGCTAGAAATTAGTCCCCAGGGGTAATCCAACCCGCTGAACATAAATGTGATGGTATTTCATTGCAATAACCCTTCTGACATGAACTACGAGAGGCAGCACATGCA